CTCTGTCTTGGAAGAAGTACAACCAGAATGCTCCTTAGAAGTGAGGATGACGAGACTTTGTCTCACGTACTTTGGATGGGTTATCAGGAGGGACCAGCCCCCGGAGAAGGACATCATGCTTGGTAAAGTAGAAGATGAGCAAAAAAAGAGGAAGACCCGCAATGAGATGGACTGACAGCCAACAATGGGTTCAGGCATAACGATTTTGAGGATGGCACAGGACTGGGCAATGTTTCGTTCTGTTGTACATAGGGTTGCTACGAGTTGGAACAGGCTCGATAGCATCTAACAACAACAACATACCACCTACAAAAGTGTGTGTGACTCATAGTGGGTGCTCTATAACCATTTGTTTTAGAAATGACTGAATTTTAGGCTTGTTGTTCCTGTCTTTCCTAATAATCTACTGATTATAATATTTATAGATTTTATGGGAATGAGGTCACTGACTAGGAAGAAGATTATGCAATGCAGAGAAGGGCTTAACCTATACTGTAGAAACCTTTGTCAATTTAGTGCTACTTTATTGAGGGGAGGGGCCGCTAGATTTTACATTGCCAATTCCAAAGTTACCAGATACTGTTTTGAGGTTATAAAGTTTCCGAAGGGGTTGCAAGTGATATTGTTCTCTTTCTTCTCCATGTTATCCTAGTTCCTAAGAAGATACATTGCTACTAAAGGGGCCAGGTCACACCTTGCCTCACTGGTTATTTCCTTCATGTCCCTTTTGTTTGCTTGTTTTTACTTGTGATTATAAAAAAAGAAAGAAAGAAAAAAAGTTCTCTCCTATATTCTCCTGCGCTTTCCTGTATTTTCACTCCCAGCCTCTCTACTGAATTCTTTCCTACAGCCTGTAAAGACGTTCAAGTTCCTCCCAGGTTAAAAACAAAACCAAAAACAAAAAGCAAAACAAAAAATCCTCTCTCAACCTGATATCCCCTTCTTGCTTTACACACTCTCCTTCCATTCAAAGTCAAGTTCCTTGAAATAGGGGTCTACCCTTCTGGCTTCAACATCTTTACCTCTCACTCAATTGTCCAGGCCTAGATCAGCCTTAGGCACTCATCACTACCCAACAACTGCTCCAGCAAAGCTTATCAATAAATGATCTCTTAAATCTCAAATCCAGGAAACACAGTTCAGTCAGTACTCATCCTACCGACCAAAAACATTGCATCCAAAAGGCCTCTATTAAATTTATTTTTCTAGTTCAGGAGTTGGCAAACGACACTCTGGGGACCTACACCTGTTTTTAGAAATAAAGTTTTATTGAAACAACCATACCCATTTGTTGACACATTGTCTATGGCTGCTTTCACGCTTACAATGGCACAGCTGAGTAGTTGTGGTAGATGCTATATGGCCCTCAAAGCCTAAAATTGTTACAGAAAATTTTTGCTGACCCCATTTAGTATATGTGATACATTTGATCATTTCTTTTTCATTGAAAAAATAGACTCATTTTAAAATAATTTACTATAAATTTGACACAATGCAAAGCACTGTATCATCATCAATTTAAGACTTAATGCAACATGAGATGTATATTATTAGCCACATTTTAAGATGAATAAATTCAAGTTCAGAGAAGTGATGTGACACAACTAGTTAGAAGCTGAGCCACAATTCATACTTGGGTCAGAATGATTCCAAAACCTGTGGTCTTCCACACTGTTCTCGAAACTCTGATCTCCCTGGGTTTCTATGATACCTTTCTCCTCTGGTTCTTTTCCATTCCTTAGATCAGTCATCAGTCGTCTTTTGCAGGCTTGTCCACCTCTCTCCACTCCTTCAGTACTGGTTCCAAAAGGCTCTGAACTTCATACTCTCCTCTTTTCCCATGCTACACACCCTGCCTGAGCAATCTCATCCACTCCCACAGCTTCCAGCACCATACATATAGTAGTGGATGTCCAGCATATAAACAACTTTCCCCAAAGAAATATGTGTCTCTGCCCTACAGCTGCCTCCTTTCATAGGCTGCAGGGGGTGACTTCTCATGCTGACAGTGGCTTCCATCTCTCAGAAAGCCCTGCCCAGGTGGGTCTGGCACCTGGCTTTAGGATGTGAGGATACTTGGCACTGTTGGCTTTGTTCTTGGCCTTTGGGGCCCTGGCTAAAACCTAGACTGAGAGCAGCTCTCTTTAATACCCTGTTACATTCTAATTTGTTTGCCTTGTGAGACTTTGTTTTGTTCTCTGCTGTATCTCCATAACCCAGACAGTGCCTGGCACAGAGCAGACACTCATATGGAATGAATAAGGGGGGTGGGGGTGGGGTCTCAACTGTTAGTGTTGTTGTTCTTTTTTTATTTATTTATTTTTTATTTTTAAGGAAATTCACAAGCCTAATGGCAAATAAATGTTGAAAAGATGCCCAATCTTAGTGTTCAGAGAAATGCAAATTGAAATAATGATGAGTTACCACTTTATCTCCAACAGGTTGGCTAAGATTAAAAAGTCTGACCATATAATAATTTGTATAGTGAAATTAGAAATCTTATACACTGCTTATAGGTAAACTGGTACAAACACTGAAGAACAATTTAGCAATACATAATAATAATACATTCACTGAGTCTATAACTCAGCAATTTCACTTCTAAGTACATTCCTTCCAGAAATTCTTACATATGTATTTAAGGAATTATGAAGAAAGATATTTGTCTTAGACTGCGTTCTCTAGGGAAACAAAACCAGTAAAGCATATAAATATATAAAGAAAGAGATTTATATTAAGTGAATGGCTCACGTGATTATAGAGGCTGGAACGTCCCAAGTCTGTGGGACAGGAATTAAGCTTCTCCTAATTCATGCAGCCGCAGGGGCTGGTGAACCCAAGAATGGCAAGTCAGACAGCAGGGCTCTGGCTCACAGGCTGCAAAGACCAATGAATCCTAAAACTGGCACGCGAGACGGCAGGTAAGCTGCTAGCTCAAGTCCCAAGAACTGGAGGTCAGGCAGGCAGGAGCCAGCTGCAGGACCTAGTGTGAGCAAAAGCTCATGAGCCATGCAAGAAAGTCCACCTATATTGGATGCAGCCAATACCCTCCAAGGAAACTCCCTTTCAACTGACTGGCGACTCAAGAAGATTCCATCACGGAAGTGATCACATTATGTCAAATCTCATCATGGAGATGATCACATCATTATATGACTGCCAAACTACATCATAACTTCCAAACCACTGAGAATCATGGCCCAGCCAAGCTGACACACAATCTTAAAGATCACATTGTTCAATAAAGAGTTGTTTATAAGAGCAAAAAAAGGTAATTTAAGCACCCACCAATAAAGAAATAAACTGAGTTATATTCATTCAATCAAATACAGTATAGCAAATGAAAAGAATGAAATATGTTTACATGTATCAATATGGAAAAAAATCTCAAAAAAAAAGTTTAGTGCAAAAAACAAGTTGCAAATGCCATGTACTATATGCCATTTATGTAAGTTTTAAGAACAAAAGGCCATTTATGTATTGTTTATATGAACATGCACAAGTAGGAAAAACCTCAAAACTTCCAAGGGAAGAAGACACACTAACTTCAGGATAATGGTTATTTCTGAGAGAAAGGCGTACAAAGAGGACTTCAATTATATGTGTAAAGTTTTATTTAAAAAAAAAAAGATCTGAAATAATTTTTTTTCCCCCAAATCTGGACTACTATAACATTAGGAATACAAAATCACCACATAATGAATATCTGAATCTGTATTTATCTCAAAGCCTTGAAAAACTAAAATTCAACACTAAAACTGACTTGACAAAAGTAAATAATGGTAATAATAAACATGTAAACAAGCAAAAAGCAAGGTCTGTATTTTGGTTCATGAAAATAAAAGTTTAGCCTGTATTTGCCTGAAGTCTCCCTTCCACCACCATTCTTTATCATTTATAAGTTACGTTCATCTAAGCTCCTAGGTACTATACCTTATATTGTATGGGTGTTCTCTTGCAGGTAGATTTGGGATTTATTTTTATTTTCAAATAATCAGTACAGTGTTCTGTTGATACCACTTAAGGGTATCATATGAAACTTAACACTAATATGAAAATACTTAGATCAAGAATAAAAAGAAAAAAGGCCCATATAGTTACTATACAATCCTAACAGACTTGCCTAATTTTGAAACACATTTATTCTCATTTCAAGCTATATCACAGTCACTTGTTGTTAGCTACTGTTGAGTCAGCCCCTGACTCATGGACCCCATGTGTTACAGAGTAGAACTGCCCCATAGAGTTTCCTTGGCTCTAATCTGTACAGAAGCAGATCCCCAGGTTCAAAACACCACTAATGCTCCTTTGTTTATTTGCTTATTTTACTCCTCAAAAACAACAATCAAGTACAATTACATCATTCATAAATCACTTGTTTTTTCCATGAAAGAATATTATTTAAACTCTTAGTGTTAGACCTCAATGGATTACTCCGTGCGTGGATGACACTGAATTACTTACATATTCTCCAACCTATTTACGCCTGCATGTCCAATTAATGGACATTAGTCTGTGTGGGTATTTAAATTTAAATTAATTAAAATAAAATATTCAGTTCCTCATCTGCACTAGACACACGTGGCTAGTGGCAACCATATTGAACAGCACAGAGATAGACCTTTCCACCACCATAGAAAGTTCTACTGGACAGAGCTGGTCTGGAGAGCTCTTATATAAGGAGTCACACAGCGGCCACACATAAAAATAGGTTACATATTTTAGCAAAGAATTACTGTCTTCCTCAATACTCACATGATGCCACCTGCTACTAGTTACGTTATTTACATTGCTTTTGTCAATGTGGTCTAAACTATCTTAAATACTGAGCACTACTGAATATGGTTTTAATTATAATCTAAACCAAAATAATCACTACTTTTTATATCTTGTTCATAGCAGAATACGTGACTCAAAATACATAATGGAAATAACCTAAACAACAGCAATAATGTAATCAATAATCAGTTCCACATGGGAAACATCTTAAGGAAACTTACCCTCCTTCACTTTCTGCTTCCTCTGAACTATTACCCGTTGCTGAACTTTGAACTGTGGTGATTCTTCTTCTTCTAGCTCTGTGCTGAGGACTGACCCTATGAACAGTCACCTTCCCCTCAAGTTCACCTTGTACATACTCTTTCAGCCTTGAAATAGCTTCTTTAAGAAATCTGATTTCTTCTTTGAGTTCCTCCATATTTCTTAGTAATTCATTTAACTTCTCCAGTATCTGAAGTTGCCTTCCTTGGGAGACCACTGCTATTCCTTGGCCATTACATATTTCATCTTGCAAAGTCACCGGATCAAATGTACTACCCACAGAAAGAAGTTTAGGTAAATTCATTGCTATCCTTGGTTTACGGAACTTGTGGTACCAGAAAAGAAGCAAGCTGATTCCAGCAGTTCCCACTGTGATGCCAAGTATCAGTCCTCTTCTTGTGGAATGAGACATTTCTTGGGTTTTGTTTCTAAAATTAAAAACAAATGTAAATGAATGCTGTTTCTGTCTTTGTTCATGATAAAAATATTAGTGCTTTTTCAATCAATGAAAGCCAAGCCTACATCATCAAAAAACACTCAATAAGTCATAAACTAAAATATACTATGAGTAATTCCTTCTATAATATGTGTGAAGCAAATGGAAATATTTACTTTAAGCACATGACTGAACTCTAATATAAAGTAGTTATCTATCTTAATTCAAAATCTGTATTCTGAATGGCTGATCTGAAATTTACCCTTTACTGTATATCTTAAGAGGAGCCCTAGTGGCACAGTGGTTAAGCACTCAGCTGTTAACCTAAAGGTCGGCGGTTGGAACCCACCAGCCACCCTGTGGGAGAGAGATGTGGCAGTCTGCTTTTGTAAAGATTTACAGCCTTAGAAACTCTGTGGGGCAGTTCTGCTCTGTCCTACAGGGCCGCTATGAGTCAGAATTGACTCAATGGCAGTGGGTTTGGTTTTTGGCATATATTAAAAGAGTTTTAATAAAGGAAAAGGCAGCACTATAAATTTATGAGAAAATCATTTAAGAATTCCAATTATTCTTAACTGTCTGAACCTTTTATTTGTATAAAGTTACCGTGCTGATTTCTGGGTCTTATATAGTCTTTAAAGCAGCCCAAGAAAGGAGTTCTTTAGGGTCGCTATGAGTCTAAATCGATTAGAGAGCAACGGGTTTGGTTTAGTTCGGTTCACATTAGTACTTAGAGTAATAAAACAACATCCTTTAAAGTCCAGTCTTTGGAATGTGAAGTACATCAGAGAGCTTTGGCAAGTCTGTAACCCGCCCCATCTCTGTTTTATGCGACATGGAAAGCGGAAATGCTGACCGGTGCGCAGGCTGCATTCCTTTCCTTCTTCTGATCCATGATTCCTCTGCTCTGTTTTTCTATTTATGTCTGATGCCTCAACGTTTTTGTTTTCTTTCAAATTTTCACTTTTTTTAAATAACGAAAAAAGTCATTTCTTTGATCCCTTTCTTTTTTCTGATCTTTCTCACACACACACACACACACACACACACACACACACACACACACACACACACTCTCTCTCTCTCTCTCCCCCCCCCACCCAAGGTCCAAGCGTCGGCCCTCCTCATTCCATACAAACTCAGCTAAAAAAAAAAAAAAGTTATCGTGAGTTGATTCCGACCCATAGCGACATTTTGGTTAGCAGCCGAGTGCTTTAACCACTGCGGCCCCAGGGCTCCTTTCGGAAGGAAAGAAGCCTTAATATTCCCCTGGGCTCCTTTCGGAAGCAAAGAAGCCTTAATATTAACATTTTCCTTTAGTGGTCTTCTGACTTTAAGAACTGGGATAGGCGATAAAACTAATCAAGATGGGATTTTTGCTAAAGATTAAGTTGGCATTTAGTCACAGTCACAAACTCAGCTACTATGAGGCAGTTCTACTCTGCCCTACAGGGTTGCTGTGAGTTGGAATTGATTCCACAGCAGTGGGTTTGGTGGGTGGGTTTCCTTCTGAGACTTCAAAATGGCAATAAGTATATTAATACTCCGCTAAATTTTTGTAATTAGAATAAAATATAGTGAGACATTTTTACAGACTTTGAAGTTCCCAAAAAATGCTTTCCCGTTAAATTTCCCTGTTTTGTAAACATGTAAAACGCCTGTATTAAATTTTGCTATCAACTTTGGAGAAATATTAAAAATAATGGTAAATTGTCTACTATACTAAATTAACTTGCAATTTTTGTTTGTTTTTCCCATGACACTTTCTCAAGGAGTGGATTACTACAGCACTGCTACCAATGGTCAGCTGGAGGGGAAATTAACAATTAATAAAATAACATTTTATTGGGAGAACAATGTATAGGATCACACAGAACTCCACCTCTCTAAAGATAATATTTAGGATTACCTAAAACTTCTGATTCTTCTTTGAGATTAATCCATTGTAAATGAGAATTAAGAACAAAGTATAAGTAGTATAATGTATACTCCGAAAATTTAGTATATCCCCAACAAAAGAAATTTAATGAGATGAAAGAAAAAACTAAGCTCGTAAATGTCTACTAAACTATCTTTTGGGTTAATATATTCTATGCGATTTTTTTTTTTAAGTGCCCAGTTTCTTCTACTTTTATTTCTTTTTAACCTGTTTTATCCTACAATAGCTTAGGAAGTTATAACTCATGACTCATCAAAAAAACAAACCCATTGCTACTCAGTTGATTCCAACTCACCGTGACCCTCTAGGACAGGACAGAACTGCCCCCATAGGATTTCCAAGGCTGCAATCTTTACAGAAGTAGACTGCCACATCTTTCTTCCACAGAGGAGCTGTGGGTTCAAACCACCGACACTGTGGTTTTAGCAGCCCAGCACTTAACCACTGTGACATCAGGGCTCCAAGATCCATCAAGGGAATTATTAAACAAAAACACTGGCCAAACATTTTACCACCATGAAGCACATACTTGAACATTCTATCCATGTAAAAGAATCATATTCCTAGTAAATAGAAAACTGAAAGAGCACTTAGAAATCCAGGTTCCAACTTCTTTGTTAGAGTAAATGAGTAAGTAAGGTAAAGGGCAAAGTTGTTCAGCTTCAGAGTTGGAAGTAGAAGTTCCATTTTTTCATTCTAAGTCTTGGGCACGTTTTACTTCAATACAGCATCTTATATTACATGATATATTTAAAAAGTCACTTACTTTTCCTTAAAATAACATACAATACTCTCATTTATATAGCATTCATTCATCATTCAGTCATCATTTGTCTATATACCAGGCATTAGGTGCTAGGAACACAGTAGTTAAAAGATACACATCATAAGATTATTCTACATATGGTGAATTTTCCAGATGTAATTAAAATTTACTTTTATAATTATTTTGTCACATAATTTCCAAATATGTATGTATTTTCTAATAATCCTTATATAGAAAAGACAATGCTATTTAACTTATTCTTAATAAATCAAGAAAATTTTTATGAAAATGAATCTTGTGTTCCTCTGAGGAAATAAATGGCCCCCAAATGCTATCTTCTTGTTTGTTTTTTTAATCCTAGTTGGTTTATTTTTTCTCCTTTATCAGTAAACTTTCACTTTTTTTTTGATTTCAGCTATAATTTTGACAGCTTCTAGTAATTCTTTTCTTATATCTTTATCCAGTCCCTGGCATGATCCTTCCAGCCTGTTGTGGGCTATGGAATCAGATGTACAAATTCGTTAGAAACACATTTAAAATAATAGCATGTGGGTCTATACATGGCAGGAAGATGTGGTAGTCTGCTTCCATAAAGATTTACAGCCTTGGAAACCCATGGGGCAGTTCTACTCTGTCCTATAGGGTTGCTATGAGTGAGAATCGACTCAGCAACAGTGAGTGGGGGTCTATACACATGCTTAAATTCTCTCCTGCATGGCATGGACAATATGATAGCCATTGTGGATGCTAACTGGCCTTTTTGTTTCATACATTAAGTTTCACAGAATATGTTTCATAGAATAATAGATTTGGCAAGATTGTTGAAGAGAACAATGGGGAAAGGGAACTTCTACCAGGACAGTGGAAGGGTTCAGAAGCAGTGGTTTTGAGTTAGGTCACCTGGGTTAGAATCTCAGCTCTTCCTCGTTTTCTTTTTTTTACTGTGTGCCCTTGGAGATGGTGCTTCAGCTTCCTCAACTGTGAAATGGGGATACTAGCAGTCCTCCCATGACAGAACTGTTATAAAGACCAAATGAGACAATCCATATAAAGTGACTACAACAGTATTTGGCACCTATAAGGCTTAATAAATGTTAGTGATGATGTTGATGATGATTTAGCACACTCCCATTTTTTGTTCATATTGTGTGAGGCATTAATGTGATTATACATTATAGATTGTATGTGCCATGAGATATGGGACCTTATAGTCGACTCTGTTCACTACAATATGCCCAGCACCAAGCACAGAGGCTAGCTCAATAATCATAATACACAATAGTTAACTAAATTATGTTCATCAGGACTTCCAGCATCATGGTGCTCTAGGCAGAAGCCCCACGCCATCCCTCTACAGCAAAGATCCAAAAAACTAAGCCAAACAGAGAAAACAGCAATCCTGAAACCCTAAACATCAAATGAAGAGATAAAGAACTCAGGCAAGCACCAAATGGAATAAGAAACTGACAGAGAACAAAAAGCAAGGAGACATACATGCAGAGATCCCCTATCAGCTAATGCAGCTCGGATCTGCCATCTTGGACTCCTATCAGAGACTGGCAAAAAGAGGGTATGAGAAAGCAGCTTCACAGAGCTTCCAGCAGGAGACAGAACAAATGGTAAACAGAAATATACGCTTTCCCACCTCCCACCCTTCTTCACCCACACTCGGCCTCTGCTTCCTGTGGCCACAGTCTCTTGGCCAGAAAGCATGGGCTGCTTGGATTCCACCTGCCCACACTGGCTGACTCCCTGGATTCCACCTGCCCGCACTGGCTGACTCCCTGAGTGCCATCTGTTGGCTGCTGGTGTTGCTTTTTTCTGCTTCGTTTGATTTCTTCCTTACCTCTCACCACCTCCCCCTCCTTTCTCTCAAATACCTGGCTTCATGCGCCATCTTTGCTTCGTCCTGAGGGGCTGTGGAGCTCCGCTTGAGTGTGGGTCTGCTTCCTGGTCCCTGCTGCCATGCTAGTGGGATCCCAGAGCTTTTTTGTTGTTGTTGTTGTTATGAATTGTTTGTTTGGTTTCCTTTTTTTTCTCAAGTTGGGAGCCTGTTCTGGCCAGGCAGTGCTGCGCGGCTTGGGACTTACCCCATCAGCTTATGCAGACGTGCAGAGGGATCCCTGAGAGCATTTCTTTTTTTGTGGTCTTTTCTTCCTGATTTTTTGGGGGGATTTTCTTGTTTTCTTTTTTTAATTTGTTTCATTTTCTTTTCCTTCTTTTTCCCTTTTTCTCTTTCTTCATTACTCAGTTTCTCATCTCTATATACCTTCCTTCTCTT